GCAAATGAAACATTTTGGTGAGAAGTGCAACGTCTTTGTAACGTTTTCTACACTTACAAATATCTTTCACGTTTAAAACACGTTACGACAACGTCAAATTTTACCGTTTACATTACGTAGCAAATGTACCAAATTTGGTGAGAACACAACGTCTTTGTAACGTTTTCTACACTTACAAATATCTTTCACATTTAAAACACGTTACGACAACGTCAAATTTTACCGTTTATATTACGTAGCAAATGAAACAATTTGGTGAGAACTGCAACGTCTTTGTAATGTTTCCTGCACTTACAAATATTTTACACATTTAAAAAACATTACGACAACGTTAAATTTTACCGTTTATATTACGTAGCAAATGAAACAATTTGGTGAGAAGTGCAACGTCTTTGTAACGTTTTCTACACTTACAAATATCTTTCACGTTTAAAACACGTTACGACAACGTCAAATTTTACCGTTTACATTACGTAGCAAATGTACCAAATTTGGTGAGAACACAACGTCTTTGTAACGTTTTCTACACTTACAAATATCTTTCACATTTAAAACACGTTACGACAACGTCAAATTTTACCGTTTATATTACGTAGCAAATGAAACAATTTGGTGAGAAGTGCAACGTCTTTGTAACGTTTTCTACACTTACAAATATCTTTCACATTTAAAACACGTTACGACAACGTCAAATTTTACCGTTTATATTACGTAGCAAATGAAACAATTTGGTGAGAACTTCAACGTCTTTGTAATGTTTCCTGCACTTACAAATATTTTACACATTTAAAAAACGTTACGACAACGTTAAATTTTACCGTTTATATTACGTAGCAAATGAAACAATTTGGTGAGAAGTGCAACGTCTTTGTAACGTTGTCTACACTTACAAATATCTTTCACGTTTAAAACACGTTACGACAACGTCAAATTTTACCGTTTACATTACGTAGCAAATGTACCAAATTTGGTGAGAACACAACGTCTTTGTAACGTTTTCTACACTTACAAATATCTTTCACATTTAAAACACATTACGACAACGTCAAATTTTACCGTTTATATTACGTAGCAAATGAGACAATTTGGTGAGAAGTGCAACGTCTTTGTAACGTTGTCTACACTTACAAATATCTTTCACGTTTAAAACACGTTACGACAACGTCAAATTTTACCGTTTACATTACGTAGCAAATGTACCAAATTTGGTGAGAACACAACGTCTTTGTAACGTTTTCTACACTTACAAATATCTTTCACATTTAAAACACGTTACGACAACGTCAAATTTTACCGTTTATATTACGTAGCAAATGAACCAAACTGGTAAAAATTCAACGTCATTGTTACGTTTTTCACACCAGCACAAATTTCGAACTTTACTAACACATTACTACAACGTCATTTTTTAACCATCCACCGACGTTTTGCTGAATGTCACAATTTTACGTTGCTTTGACGTTTATATAACGAAAATATACAACGTCTCCAGTGAACTTATATACCACATATGAGTGACGTTACATGGACGTCACTGTTTGCTGGGAGGCTATTCTCTGTACTTGTGTCCGTGACTCATTTTGAGTAGCGAGTGTAAATTCTTTTCGGAAACATGATTATGTTTTCCCTGTAATATGAATTGGAGATATCTGACAAAATATGGATAGCCTAAAATATAAATTTTGTGTTTTTGAACATGCGGAAATATCTTGAACACTTTGAAACTGAAGTACAATACAGTTCCTTAATAGGTCGCCCAGTTTTCTTGTTTTTGTTCTACACAACACGTGTGTTTAATAGCCACGCGTAATTATTAATAAGCGTAATCAGATTATTTCAAGAGTCGAAATAGCTTATTTTCCTCCACGTATCTACACAAACCTATTCACTTACCGTTATAGTGAGCGATCTAGATGCGTCAATTATAATTGTTTTCACTCATCAGCTTTAGTGGCCCGCGATACCTTTTATTTCATTCATTTGAGACGCAATTGATATATTGGCAACAAATCAAATATTCTAAATGATTCTTCTTCATTTTGAAATGTTTCCTCCCGTTCACATTTGCAAGAGTTGTTGATTGCATTGCCTTGATCGTTGGTCGAACTTCGATTCCAACTAAATCAGATTAATCAATTAAGAAATGTAATATCATGTTTATCCAAGCAAATAATTGTAACAACTACATTATTTTTTAGCAGTTTTGACACCTAAGCAGGGTAGCCTAGCGGCGTAGACTGAGGCTACTTTGCGGTTGAACGTCGTGGGATACGGAGGTCCCGCGTTCGAGCCCCAGGTACGGAGTTGTTGATCATTGTCACTACGGACACCCGGTCCGAAGGTCCAACCGTTTACTGGCCCTTGGCATGGGTTGGTTCTCTGGCCGCTCTTGCCGGAGACAGATTGTGAGACTGTGGTTGGTTCCTCCACTAACGTGCTTTAGTAAACTCCGGGAGTCATATAGTATGGTAGCGGGCCCCCACCAAGGGCAGTAGTGGAACGACGCGAATCGGTCCCAGTATGGTTGCCTTGCAACTGAAGAGACTCGAGGAAATCATGCCATTCGCAGTGACCCAGAAAAGACTTTTGCTTCTTAATTTGACGTTTTATTTCATTTATTTACATACTTTATTCATATTACTTTCCAGGCAGTTATTTTTTTATTGGTCAAATGAATGAACGAGCCATATAGATACTATTAAATACATCTAGATAGTATCAAAACCATAATTCGATTTGTCGGACATATATAAAATAACACTTGAAAACACAACACACATAGCTGCAATATCCGTAGCATTTGGCAAAGTCGGTTCCCACGCTCTGTCATTTTGTGTGGTCATCATAAGATAAGGAGGTACGGTTGATATGACCATGGGCTTTCAACAGAGTCAAGAAATTGTCATTTAATTGTTACTTTGAGAAATGAGGTAGCAACAAAAGGAAACACCGGAAATAATCCAGAAATGTCCACACCATTGTTTTTGTTGGTTATGGCAAGGCCCCAGAGGAAAAACAGCATTCGTGGGTAGCTCAATTTTTGTACCAATTAGAGCCATGACCTAAACTCAACCTAGAACGGTGGAGCAAAGTCACTATGGTTCCCAATTGAGAATCAATTCAAATCAAAATCAAATTGAGAATCAGATGACCTGCTAAATCTAGTATTGATTTGCCCCTAAATAGATAATAAAGGGGCGCTGAATATTGGACTTAGTTAATGAGCACCGTTTTAAACTGCCAATTAAACATGTATTCAATGTTTCAAAATAATGAAACTGAAATATTGGGCAAAATAATTGATATTTGGTAGTCAAAAACTATATAAGCTATTTAAACATGGAAATGATGCCAATTTAGAAGTATTATATGAAAAGAAATGTTTGTGAAATGGTTAGAAAATGAGATAACTTCAGAATTAATGGGATCATCGAGGCACACATTGATAAAAATCACACTTGGATTTGGAAAGATTTAAAGTAAAACAAATGAATGCGTTTCTTACTATCTCCATGACAACATATCTTGCTCTCTCTCCATGACAACAATTTTTGGCCCCATCAGCACAAGATCGAAAATACAGTCAAACATAAATAACAGAATTATGACTTTATCCTCTATGAAATACAGAAATTAATGGTTAACTGGAATTCAGTTTGTTGAGACGACCCCTCAATCCGAAACGCCTAGCATCAGTTAAAAAATTTCTGGCCGCAACTGAGATGTAAAGATGTTCAAAGATTTTAAATTAAGCTTTATCTGAAAATATGTTTTTGCGCGATAAACTTTTAATTGAATATGAATATATTAACAACAGATTGACATCCAGTCTCATATTAAAAAGTTTAAAGTCAAAATATTGTTGAAGTAAATAAAAATGAATTTTTAATTTTCAAGACTTGTCTGTTCAATGAAAAAATCATGTATAATTTGAACCAAGGTGTATGTTAAAGTAATATATAAACTATCTATTTTATATGCTGGTACAGTAGAATTTCTCTTGGCTTTTCAACATAGCACCATATTTGATCGACTTTTCAGGCTCCACTTTTATTATGACTATATAATGTTACTGTGCACTGTTATACATGTACATAATCATGTGTCTACATGACCTATAGAGCTAGATTCAAAGCACCTTGCGAGTTTCAAATGAAAATATTGAAAATGCATGTATTGAGGACTGCAACTTTTTATGTCTACACTGACAAAAACTTGAAATTCCCGCTCTAAAGATATAGTCCAACGCGGAAGTGCACGTCATAAAACTGATATGGGTTAAGGCAATGTGCCGTCCCACTGGCACGGATTTCGGTACAACGCGCATCGGTAGGCCTTTTCGGCACAATGCGCATCAGTATAATGGGTTTCGGTATAATGCGCGTCTGTATAATGGGTTTTGGTATAATACGCGTCAGTATAATGAGGTGATCCCAAATTAATAACCCAGTGATTTAATCTTTTTGGCACTAATAGAATAAGCAAATAAAAGAAACTCGAATTAAGGATGTTTTTTTCAAACCCTCTACGGGGTGGCCTAATGTAAACTTCCATTGGCTAACAATTGAAGAATCTATGTACAATGGTATCTTCTTCATTGTTGCAGATGCTACAGATTTCTGTGTCTTATTTGTTCATTTTGTACAGAGTTTTATTGAAAAAATTGTTCCTATGATAATGCTATATAATCGAAAAAGAGTAGTTTTGTATTCTTTATAAGTTGTTTAGATTTTGTATAATATTCTCTCCCCTTTGCATTGATGTCTTAATCCAGACTCTCTTCTATTTTTCTGATTTCTTTGGTTCTGTTCTTTTGATTACTCAAAGTTTAAGCACCTTAAATGTTTCCCGATTTGAAAGTATTGATGTGAGAAAGTCAGTTCATTCTGTAGGCCAAGTGGTAGAGCACACAACATACACAGTTTTAAATTGACTGAACATATCGACATATGTAAGGAGAATGAATGCTACCATTTACGCAAATACAAAACTCGTTGTAGGGATCAAACTGAATATTGACTTCCGGTCAGTCAAGCCAAACTCTGCCAATGATGAAATGTGGATTCATGATGTCGGGATTTTATCAGCGAATGTGAATGTCACAGTTACCAAAAACAACATCAGTGTGGTGAACAACACAGATGGTACACAGAAATCATTGGCATGGAACAGCAATGATTCTATAGAAGTCAGCAATAATTATGTGAGTGTGCATGGCCAACAAATGCTGTATTTGAAATATGCTGATGATAATGCAGACGTGGAAGATGTAGAGATTGGTGTATTCAGGACCACTTCGGGATCACTTGATGTAACCTTCTCGAATACAGATGATGTTGTAACAGATGGATTTGTTCGTAAGTTTCCACAGGCCTTCCACATCAATTTTTTATTCATGGATTAGTTTATTCCTAAATAATTAGTCCAATTATGACTTTGAGAATGTATCTCTCCATCTTTTATGTGCCTCCCTCATCTCTATGTCTGACACCTCCCATTTCATACTCCATAACTGACATGTACTTTGTCGCAATTCCAGGGAGTGTTATTTCCCAAATTGGTAACGTTAGTGTTGACCCAAACCAACCAGACGTCCTCAATATGGCGCCTGTTTGGAATGGAACCAAGATGATTGAGGCTCACAGATACGAGGAGAAATGCTGGAAGATAACACACGGGGCCCATCAACTCTTTCAGAATGCAGAAGACTGGCAGAAGTTTGTCAGACAGTGTCTGCTTTGCGAATCATAGGATTCCAAAGCTAAATACTGAGACTTTTAGGTATGTTAGTCTCAGACAAATTGTAAGTCACATACTGTGTCCTAATAATGGAACTCCATTTGGAATATTGTATCTAGTCAATTTTTGGACTTTGGAGTATTAAGATTGTAATTTGAATTGTTCCTTACGAGTTTTATTGTGAAAATATGCCAGTTACCATGCTAGTTACCATTTTATAACACATGTATTGATTAACCTATGTATGAATAAACCTAAAATAAATATATTGCAAGTTTGTTTATTAAACTCGTGAGAACCATTCTAGTGGGAGATACACATATACTCCATCACATGCCATCTTGATTAAGAGGGTTTCGGTTCTCCCCACCTCGGACCCAGAGGTTGTAGTTTGGTCTTTTGATTCCTTAGTTTTTAGGTTTTCGAGCCAATATGAAATTCTAAAAAGCAAGCCCGGCCCAATGTCCTGTTTAAGAACCCCTATTCTTACTTTTGAAAATGGATTCTAGCAATACTAACCTACATGATACTACTTGATCAACTTGAGTTCTTCTGAAAAAATGACGATTTCAGCAAGAATGCATTGATTAAACAGTACCAAACAAAAAATGCAAAAAGGCCTTAGTTAAGCTTTAATGTCCTGCTTAAGAACTGCTGTTCTTACTATGTACTTGTTTAGATTCGATCAACTTGACTTCTTCTGAGAAAATGAGGATTACAGCAAGGGTGCATTGACTTTGCATTGTGACATGCATGATGGTATCCCGATGCTAAGTCATTGTTCAATGGTGTATGTCACTCAGTTTCTTAAGTTGATCGAGTCTCAACAAGTAGATTCATTTTGGATAGTATTGATAGAATTCATTTTCAATAGTATGAATAGCAGGCCTCCTAGACTTCCACCAACGCGAACATCATTTCTGACCTCGCGAACTACGTTCCTTGCACTTGAACCACGGTTCTCACATCGCTTACTTGCGTGTGTGCGTTCTTGCGCAGTCTTGCGTGCATGCATGCAAGAACAAGCATGCATGCTTACATACTTACTGTGAATTAAGCAACACACCTTTTAATGAAACCAAAGTAAATATATAAGCACAAGTGCCAAAGGGAAAGGACCAAAAGTTGTAATGGAACTTAGCAAGAAAAAGCAAACTCTAAGTGCATACCAGTCAAGAAAAACAAACCCCATATAGCCCAAAACCATGATCTAACGTGAAAAGAAACAATGTCTAATACCCCCTTTCCCCCAACATTCAAGAACCAATATCAAAATCCAAGACCAGAAGACCAAGGGACATTTCATTCATACTGAAGTCATTACAATACATGTTGAAGAAAAAATTAGAAATTGATAACCAATACTCATAACCTCAAAAATAGTTAAGGTAGATCAAATGTGCATGTTCCAAAACTCACTTGGCATTATGTGGACATTTAAGCCACACATTCTGACAACAATCTCGTACATTAGCTGCTTATCTTCTCATTAATTGTATATACTTTCTTGGTGTTTAATTAGTGCATAGTAATGAACGACTTCAAGCCATCTATCGGACCAAATGTACTCTGGCCTACCCTTTGCATTCGTTTGACTTCACTTCTTAAATGAGAGCTTCGTCTTCGTAGTTTAACTAGACTCTGCACGCAGGGTAACTCTGGCCTATATTTACATTTACACTGGTTCAGTATATATTTTAGACGATTACTACCAGAAGACATCCCAAGTCCCATATTACATACAATTAAATGTATCATTTAAATGAATGAACGAATAGATGATCGAACGAACGAACAAACATACAAACACATGGACAAACAATGGACAAACGACCGATTGTATGCACGCACAAATAAATGAATGAAAGAACAAACGAAAGAACTGATGTATGGATGGATGAATTGATGAATGGTAGAATGAAAGAGTGAACGAACGAATGGGCGCACGATCGGACGGACATACAAGAGGAGGTCAAACAAAAGAACAAAAATGAACAAACGATCACACTAAATGATGTCTTGTTATAAGCTGTTCATTGACAAATTGATGAAGAGCATGTATCGTCTCTAAGATTTATTCCTTGGAACATCGAATTATATAGAAAACACATAAAACTCCAAAAATGCATAGTCCATTGTCAAAGAAACACTTGAGAAATTTCATCATGACGGCAGATGGATCAAACTGCCCTAAGTTGATTATAAGTTGCATAAATTGCAGAAGAAACATGTACGATGTTGTCCTAGAATGATACAGTGATTGTTCATACATTATTCTTACGTTCTTGTACATTTATATAAAGAAGCTCAAAATGAAGCTTTCGTAGCGATAGAAGCGGGCCCCGTGAATTCTGCTCATGTTTTCAGCGGGTCGTCATGTTTTCAACGGAGCCTCCTCATGTTTTCAGCGTGGCCACTGAAACACCTTTAATGGTGTATTTCGCCCCTACAGTATGTGCACTTGCAAACTAACTCATCAATACAGACTATTTTGATCCAATATTCATTATGAGGTATGTATAACATAATTTTTTGTGTATATTTTAACGGTAAAATTATGTTGACGTCCGTTTCTTCGATATATTTCATCATATCTCATGTCATAGTTTGTTAAATATATCTGTTTTGGAGGTATTGTTGGAGCATCAAATAACAGTAATGTGTATTGTTACTCTTTTTGGTCCATTTTCTCATGTGATCCAAATAATCACGACTTTGCCTGCGATTTCAGCGGGAACTTGCTCGCGATTTCGAGAATTTACCGCGGGGCCTGGACAGTTCCCATGCTATTGCCACATAAATTACAAAATACTTCCATATACTAGGGTGACATCTTTGTTTAGAATAAATATACAATTAATAACATGCCCTCTATTATTTAAGCGAGTATAATATCATATAATAGTACTTTTTTTATTGCATTGGTATACATTGCTATAATAAAATAACATAGAACAATTCCAAATAACAATGAACTCTAATGTTAAGCTTCAGAAAAGACCCAAAGGCAACACAATTTGAGAGGCAATTTTAAAGGCATGTGATGACAGCCATCCTAATCTATCGTTTCAAAAACTACGCCACATTGGCCACGTTGGAGTAGGAAGAAAAGTGAGACTATCAGACATCCCTCAAGAAAATAAGTCTCACAGTGTCCAAGAGAAAGACTCAATAAATTATTTCAAGTCAATGAGTTCACACCCATGCAAGATGATATGAAAACAATGAATGAGAAAATTACTTGGCCTAGTAACTGTAAAAGGGCAAACAATGAAGACATAAACCACTATTCTTATTCACAAAGAGCACTTGTCCCTAACGGAGGTTCACCCATCTTTTTATAAGACATAACGTCTTTATAAGCAGGTGGGGACCAGTGAAGAGGATGGAGGGGACAATATAATGGAAGAATACGACACGTGGGAGGGGTTTAGAGGCAGAGGATAAATCGGGGACAAATGTTGCAGTCAGACAAACAAGCCCTAGTTCTATCTATACAAAATTTTAAAGAGCTTGTATTACAGTGGCAAAGATGACAGAAACCGACATATTGAAACACAAATAAGAACTCCAATAAGAACAATTATACCTGTACTCGCATAACATTATACACTCATAACATTACAGACATACCATTTAATCAAATGAAGGATGATATGAGAAGTGTGATTAAGTTTCTGAAAACATCCACAAGATTTGTTTTAAAAAATCTCTTCAATTGATTTTGATTTAAAAATAGTCTTGATATTAAATAAAGTTGAATTGAACAGGTGCTTGTAGAATAAAAGATCGAACATATTGTTTGAATCAAGATCACTCATTCTTTTAAATTCGATTTGTACTTGGAATGAATCAACTTTCTTCAAGTGCCAAAGATTAAATGCCTGATCATTTTGAAACAAAATAAAAGACATTGTGATAGTCTCTAATTTTCATCCTCCTTAGCAGGCTTCCAGAATCCGTACCTCCTTCTTCCGGTGTAGAAAGGAAGAATAGATTCTGGATTTTGAAACCCTGCGTACGGAGGATGCCAACTTTTTGTGAGCGGTTTTCGGTGTTTGGCGTTCGGCGTCTGTAAGAAATGGCAGGTAGTGACATTTTGCATCTTAATGCCTTGTCTATAATTTTGGGTACAATATTTATTAGGTTTAAATAAAAAACAAGTAGGAGAAGATATTTTATTTTTACTTTTTCACACCCCTTTTATCATATCACATTAGGCTGCCTGTTGAAATACTAATGCCCATTTGACTTTAACTTGAAATATAAGTACCCGGTAGAGACAATTCTAATAGTAATTAGGCTGCTGCGTAAGTGTCCAGTTGACAGAATTATTATTCTAATGTTAATTGGGCTTTAACTTGAAATATAAGTACCCAGTTGACACAATTCTAATGGTAATTGGGCTTTAACTTGAAATATAAGTACCCAGTTGACACAATTCTAATGGTAATTGGGCTTTAACTTGAAACCTAAGTACCCAGTTGACACAATTCTAATGGTAATTGGGCTTCAGCTTGAACTATAAGTACCCAGTTGACACAATTATAATGGTAATTGGGCTTCAACTTGAAATATAAGTACCCAGTTGACACAATTCTAATAGTAACTGGGGCGCCACGTTGAATTATCGAGTTGTTTTTATCGCTTTTTTCGAGTGTAATTTTAAGTTTGATTCAGACTAAGGCTTGCCTATTGATGAAGTACTAATGATTTTGAGATCTGATTATTAGTCCCGAGCCCGACAAATGTTTTTCACAGAGCGGGATATAATAAATCACAGTTACACTGTCACGTAATTTTATAGGGCTCGCGGGATAGTCGCAATTGCAAACACCTTTATCCCGTATGAGCACTTTGTAGCACTGAGCCTCGGGACAGTCAGTTTCTCAAACTCACTGTCCCGTAATTTTTTTTTTGCAAACGACGGGATATAATTAATTGAGACCTGACATATCCCGGCGCTGGGTAAAAAATTTGCTGCGGGATAAAGTGATTTCAGAACTTGACTAATGCTGATCAAAGTATATGCTATCAAGCCATCACACATCTCTATGTAATTACCATACTATATTACCCTTGCAAAAAATTCCATTTTTCATGACCTCTTTGTAGATCAAAGTATATGCTATGAAGCCATCACACATCTATGTAATTACAATACTACATGTATATTACCCTTGCAAAAATTTTCATGACCTTTTTGTACTGTATTATATCAACATCTGTCTTTTATTTTAAAAATGTTGCTAAAGTTTATTGGGAG